GACTTGAATAATCGTGAGTATGTTTACACACTTTTTAAATAAACTGGACTTTTGAAAATATATTAACACATTAGTGTGACTGAAAAAGCTCTGATATGAACCTCTCATGGTCGAACTGACATATCTGGATAATGTGGTTGGGGATTGGTTTCATGCTGCAGTTTTTGCATACCAGGCCTTGACCTGGAAGTTGAATAGCATGGATGTGTTGCTGGTAAATAAAGTAGTGAGCAAAACAGACAGACAATAAAAAGACGTAAATATAAATAAATACATTTTAAAAGTAACTTTCCTATCCGCTAACAATACAGAGCTGTAAGAAATGATGTTTTTAGCGGTCAACCGATATCCCATGATCCTGTTGCTTACACATTTGGCGAAACTGTTTTTATTCATAATACAACAGCTGTGAGAGGCATGTTACCACCTACCAAGTGGAAGTAGACTTGCTTCTGTTAATAATTCAATTTTTGCCTGGTGTTTGCAAACATAATCAAGTACAGTAATCCAGTCAAGTAACCTAGCTCAAGCTTGAGCTGCAACTCGTCTTAACTGTGCATGTAAGCACACTGAGTTATTTTTCATTGTTGGGACTTCATGATAGAACTGAAATGGGGGTTACCCTAAGGGCTTCACAAACTGGCTGAGTGGACAGGGGGCTCCAGCAGGCTCTAAAGGCCATTTGCACCTCAGTGTGCAGCAGTGAGGATGAAAGTCAGTACCTCCATTTTTAAGGCCATTGTCCATTACCAGAAACAGTGAAATGCTTGAAATGCTGAATTACTGTCAGTGAATTACTGCCTGGGGCTAAGCTTAATGTCAGAGACAAGGAAAGGAGCCATGACATTCAGAGGGAGCTCAGAGCAGAGTTGCTACTCCTCTACACTTAAAAGAGTAGCCTAACACAAAATGTATCTTTAATGGAATACATCAAATCTGATAACTAATAAGAAAAACTAAGTCATCAGACTGTCTCCTTGGATTTGCTTAAGTGAGCTACTTTAAGTTATCCACAGTCACAGGGACCATCTGAACTCATTTTTTTCTACTTTTAGTCATTATGAGTGAGAGCAGAGACAGGAGCTCTCAGCACAACTTATCATATTTTGGTGTTTGGTCCCATGCCACAGTGCACAGTTTTGTTCTATTGATAAGTAGGACCAAAGTGCCCCCAAAGATTGTTGCAAAGTCATGCTGTTTCAAATTGCATTTGTTTTCAACTGTTGAGTCAGTTGGCTCCAAGCCACATTGTATGAATATATTAGTGACGATGTATGGAAAGCTTGTGACTCTAATTTTTCCCCCTTTTGCTCACTTAAAGGAAAGTTTACATAGTCACCAATGTGCCGAGTAAGTCCTGTAATCCACAGACTCATTACAAACCCACTTAAGAATTTAGATGGTAGGGAGGAAAATCAATTGGCAAAACAAGAGCTTAGTTTTCGGCCACTGAACAGCTTACAGTTTGGAAAATCCACAGTGGCATCTGAAAAGCAGCATCATTGATAACAAAATGCCTGCCTCCTGCTTGGCTAAGTGAGTGAGCGACTGATTAAGTAACCTGTCACCGAGCAAAGCCTGAGAAATCTGGTTGCTATGAGTGACATCTTGACAGCTCACTAAATTTAAATCCAGCATATTACTGCCAGCAAGCCACTCAGGCAAAGCATGGCCTTCTCTCACAGACAGTGTAGACTGTAATACAGAAGCATGCAGACAAATACACCCTTCATCAGAGGTGGATGGATAAGCAGCATACACAACACATTAACAGTCACTCATGGGAATGAGGCTCCCTCTCTAAACCAGAAAATATCCACATATGCGCAAATGCAGGCACGCGCATACACAAACACACTGCGTGGAAATATTTCGCTGTGCACTGTAAAGCAGCACCGTGTGGCCTGGTTCTCTTATTACCTTAGCAACAAGCTGTCTTATAGCTCTGCTGGGTTTAGCTGTCTGTGCTGATGTGTGTGTGTGTGTGTGTGTGTGTGGGTTCTTAGCATGTGTGAGCTAGACAGAAGCAGAGATGTAGAGTGCCATGAATTTTGCATCTGATACCATTTTTTGTGTTTGTATGTGTGTGATAAGTGATTAATCCCTGGTTTCAATGCAAATACAAGTTTATTGAATACTTATGCTTAAACCTGGATTTTGCTCCTGTGCAGCAGCACATGGGCCCATTGTGGCCAGCATATTCATGCAACAAATATTGGATTACATTCACACAGGCCTGTTACTGCGCTGGCAGCTCAATAGCCTTGCTGCTCAGAGCTTACTGTAATTGTTGCAGTTATGGTTAATTAGCTTGCAAACACAGAGGATTGTATCTCAAATCAATGCAAAGCTCTGGGAAAAAAAACTGTATAGGCTGCTGATCTACAGTTGCCTTAACGAAAATGAATTGACATCATAACATTTATAAGCACTAATATATAAAAAAAAACGTATTCAATATTACAGTTGTTCGGTGAAACAAAATCAGATAGATGAGAAAAAACACGACAGATTCTGTCGTTTCAATGAATTTCAAACCATCCACCAAGATATTACCATGAATTATTCAAAGAGAAAGATTGTACTTATTTAAATCTGGTGAAAGCTTTTAGAAATTTGAGCAGCTTTAGTGAAAGGGGACAGTAGTCAGACAATGTGGGCAGCTAACCAGGTGTGCTGAGGATGTTTGTTTCTACATGAGCACAAACAGTGGAAGAGGCATTCAGTTCAGGGCACCAATTTTCCTCAATATTGTGTCATTTACTTAAAGGCAGTTATCAGTGTAATTTGTAATTGTATACAAATACCTTCAAGATTGTGATTAAGTGGGGAAAAAAAGTGTAAAAGCAAATACTCCTCATCTGACCAAAGAAGCCAGTGTATGTCATATAAACTCTGAAATAAATCAGTGGATTTCTTTAAATAAATATCAATATATATGCTTTTAAGCTCAAAGAAAGAAAATATTATGTTTTCATTTGAAGTAATTGGTCTTCCTGGTTATTCTGGGCATAATGTGAGGTTAAAGTCAGTTCCCAAACTGTGAAAACAATAGGCTGTAATAGTCTACATTTGAATTCTTGATTATGTTCTTAATGATTTAATACAATTAAAATGCCATCCTTTATATCTTGATTATTGAATTCAATACGATAAATGCTGTTTTGTATGAAAAGAGCTATTTATCACAAAAAAATGTCTGCCTGACATAGGTTCAAATCCCATCCTTTATTCACTCACCTGAACTTTATTCACAGAAGATCTAGGTGAGTGTGACTAGGACAGAGGGAAATGGACAAGCAGTCCATAGTCATAAACATTCGGCCACCTCATCTTTGAAGACTCTTTGATTAGCATCACTAGTGGGAACAAGCAGCAGTGCCCACAAGCGGCCAAGATAGAAGGAACTCAGGTGTTGTTTGCTCTGCCAAGTGCTCAATCTCACTGGGGAATTAGCTCAAATGGTAGAGTGCCATTTGGGGATCGAAATGGGGATCGATACCCACATTCACCACAAGACTTTGCTTTGCCTCCTTTCCTCTCCAGAGGGGATGATTAGTTAGGCGAGAGCGTCATTCATCAGACAGGAGTAGGTTGTAGATGCCTGAAATCAAGCTGCCCATTCTGCCTTAATGCACACTTTGAAGCTGAGCCAGTCCTTGCCATTTTTAGTGCAAACACTAACAGTGTTTCAGTGTGCTGACGAAAAAGTGTCTGTCTTGGTACAGTAGCCATTGCAATAATCTTCGTTCTCCTCCAAAAGATATCAAAAGCCTTTCAAGGACCCCCTTAAACCCAATAAAGCCACAGCATGCAGAGCCCAGCATTGAGCGGTACTTTGTGGGGATGGCACGAAGCCTGCAGTGGGTCCAGAACTGTTAAAGGATAACTTGAGTGGTACATTGGTGACTTTCTCCTTGTTTCTGGCAGTTTAAACCGCTGGCTGGGTGTTACACTGCTCTAGCTGAAAGGACAGTTTACAGTAGCACCTGAGTGGAAGGTTGCACAGGAGGTCTGGACAGGAGGACATCCCCAAAGCCACAGCTGTAATTGCTGAGCATGTGGCTTGGTTTCATGTTAGCATGAAGTAAATTACAGTGCAAGGAAAATAGGATTCAAGCTGGCTGTGCTGTTTCAGGCGCCAAAAGCAGGTGGATAAGAGTTACTCTGATGTTTCCTGACCTGCGAAGAAACTACTCTCACTGTCACAGTCAGTGAGCATGTGGCTTGGCTGACAAGCTGGCATAAATTCCAGGTGATTACGGCAAGGATGGAATTCGAACCCATGCGTGCAGAGCGGTACTTTGTGGAGAAGGTGAGCCTGCAGTGAGCTGTTACAGGATGAAACGAGTAGTACATTGTTAAATTTTAGCCCTTGTTGCTAGTGGCTGACTCCGCTGTCTGGATGGAACAAGTTTTGAAGCAGAAGACAGGAGTCTCCCAGTAGCAGCTGCATGCAAGGTTGCAGAGGCAGTCTGTGACATGCAGGATGAAACTAGTGGCAGATGGTCGACATTCTCTTTGTTGCCAGCAGATTTGGAGCAGTGTCTGGATGGAGCAAGATTTGAGGCAGAAGACAGGCGTTTGAGGCGCTAGACAGGCTCTTTCCTGTAGCAGCTGCATGCAAAGTTGCAGAGGCAGTATGTGACGTGCATCAAGTAGCCGCCGTGGTCAGTGAGCATGTGGCTTGGCTGACAAGCTGGCATAAATTTCAGATGATTGCGGGGAGGATGGAATTTGAACCCACCCATGCAGAGCACAATGGATTAGCACTCCATTGCCTTAACCCCCGGTCAAAGATGGGGCAAAAGGGACTGTGTGTGTGTGTGTGTGTGTGTGTGTGTGTGTGTGTGTGTGTGTGTGTGTGTGTGTGTGTGTTAATATTACATTGTAAGATATTACAAAAATTGTAACACACTTTTGAACATGTCAGGAAGAGAGGCAGACCATACCAATACCAGCATTTGCTGATTTTTGGTGGTAACAGCTGAAAAAATGTGTTATAAACCGTTTTTCCATTGCTCCAGGGTCAGTCCTGAGGCTGGACAGTACCACCGCCCTTTCAGCTGGGTGTGTCCAGTGCTTTTATTTTTCTGCTTACCGCACTCTTTGCAAGTGTAGTGGTAGATTTCCTTTGTCAGCCTTTTCTTTCGTGGTTCTCCTTGAGACACTCGCTCCTGATCTTCCTGGGCAGCTTTACGGTGTCTCCAGTCATGTTGCCTTGGCTGAGGCAGAAGGCATGCTAACTGCGACGTAGGAGCTTCCTGCGATGGCACAGCTGGCTGGAGCGGCACAGCAGGCTGGAAAGGCACAGCAGGCTGGAACGGCAGAGCTTGATGGTAGAATTAGGGAGGGTGCTGGAATTGTGGAGGGAACAGGGGAGGTGGAAACGGTGGACAAAACACAGGCCTGTTTGCCACAGGAGTGCGCTGACAGGGGAAAGCTTCCCCCTCACGGTTTTGTGGCTCCTCAAATGTCATTACTTCATGTGCATGTTGTGCAGGGGCAGCTGGAAGTGTGTTCACTGCAGGGAGAGACTCCTTGGCCAGGTGCAGCTGTTTGGGGAGGACAGTCTCTTGCAGGAGCCTGTCCCTGTCCTTCCTTGTATCCCTCCTAAGTAGCCTACAAGACAAAAATTCACTATTTTATACTTATACCTAATGAAATGCAGGTGGAGGTTTTTATTACTGTAAAATCTTTATATACTGTCTTGACAGTATGGGAAAGTTAAATGAAATAATACACACTATAAGGAGACAGTGGTGTTGTTAACTGGCACCAGAGCCAAGTTGGTCTGGTTCAGGACAATCCTGCTGTCCTCCAGCAGCTGTTTGATGTGGCCATAGACGCTGACAATGGATTGAGGGACTGGCATGGTTTTTCCATTTGTGTCCTTTGGCCTGTTGCGTGCTTGCACATACTCTTTGGCAAGTCTGAGGCAAACACCGAAAAGAGACATCAATGTGCTTCATTCATTCCATGGAATGTTTGTTAAATTATGGTGTATAAATTAATTACCAATTTGTACTTTGAAGGTGCCTTGTCAATGGCATGGAGAGCTGTGTAAAGGTGGACTATGTCTACCTCCTCCTTGACTGACAAGGCTGTGGTTGTTCGATTTAAGTCAACTAGGTAGGCTGCTAGGGCATCAACTGCCTCCCAACGCCTCTCGAGTCACATTGGCTGGTCTGAAAAGGGATAAGGGAAAAAAGAAAACACAAAGCAAAAGATTTATATTTTTTGTTACATGAGCGATGCTGATTTCATATTCATAAATCTTATCAAAATGTAACCAGATGTAATTAATTGAAATATTTTGTTTTTGAGTAAGGTGTTGAAGAAATTGTTATTGGCCTCTGTGTCGAAGGGACTGGGTTTGGTGTCACCCTCCAACATCACCTGGTCATCCACAGCACTTGGAGGATCGGGATCACCAGCCTCAAGCTCAGTTGACTGGCAGAGTGTAGCGTCCGGTTCAGCCTCATTCAAGGAATCACCTGCCGCAAGGTCACCTGGCATGAACACGGTGGCATCTGGCTCATCCTCATCTTCCTCCAGCACCTGTGAGGGGATGTCAGGCATTTGCTCAGGAGTAAGCAGGTCACCTCTGTTGGTCTGGGCCAACAAATACTCCACAGATTTGTGCTCTCCTGCAACCAGTATAAACACAAAGATGAAAAAAGGACATGCATACTAACATCAATCTCCTACATTTATAGCACAATCTTCGCATCGAAATACACATCCTCTGAGTAGGGGGGTTCCAAAGAAAAAGTGGAGGAGTGGATGTAATACTTTTGTCTACCAGAGATTCTCTGATTCTTCTCTTACCTTCTCTTATCTTCTTATGTTTTCCAGGTGGGGTGAACTCTGAAACCATAGCATAACCAAGGACCGACTGGCTCATGTTATTGAGGTGAGAAATCAATTGGACATCAAAAATTCTGAGAGTTGAGACCCCTCCACAGCTACAGCCTCCTTGGCCTGGCCCATGTTCCACCTCGATGCTCCCTCCATCATGTACATTTGCATGTGCATTGCATTGCATCGCCAGCCTAAGAAACAAAATATTCTGTTCAGTTAACCATTATTGTAAAGTAAATACATATGAACACCTGACAGTGGTAACTGTTTTACTTAAGTAATTACAACACATTCTCTGTCAATAACATAGAAAAGAATATTAGAAAATGACAAACACAATGTGTGTTGATGTGAATGTACCTGGAATAAAAGCACACTGGTGTTGGTGAAAACTCTCCAGGGAGGAAGACCCCCTACCACACTTAACCCTTGTACCTTCTTTCCTCAGAATCCCTAATCTGGTATTAGTGGCACCGAACTGCCACTGTCACTTAGTGGCCTGTAAAATCATCTATAAATGAAAAGTTGCCCTTTTCTTATTATGGCTGTCATTATTGACTTCTGCTCTAACCACTCAAAAGAAAAAATCACTCAGTTTCAAACTTTTAACCCCTTTAATTTTAGTGTAAACACACCGTAAAAAATGCCAAAAATTTTAAAAAGTGGTAAAAACATTAAAAGAGTAATGCAAAATCAAATTTCTTTGTGCAAGATTATCAGAACCTATGAGTGGTATAAGTATGTGTAAAAATAGTTTTCAGTTTCAGTTTTTGGGTCACAGCAGAAAATAAAAAAAAACTACTAATCTGGTATTAGTGGCACGGAACTGCCACTGTCACCTAGTGGCCTGTAAAATCATCTATAAATGAAAAGTTGCCCTTTTTTTATCATGGCTGTCATCAGTGACTTCTGCTCTAACCACTCAAAAGAAAAAATCACTCAGTTTCAAACTTTTAACCCTTTTAATTTAAGTCTAAACACACCGTAAAAAATGCCCAAAATTTTAAAAAGTGGTAAAAAATAATAAGAGTATTGCAAATTCAAATTTCTTTGTGAAAGATTATCAGAACCTATGAGTGGTATAAGTATGTGTAAAATTAGTTTTAGTTGCAGTTTCAGTTTTTGTGTCACAGCAGAAAATAAAAAAAAAACGACTAATCTGGCATTAGTGGCACGGAACTGCCACTGTCACTTAGTGGCCTATAAAATCATCTATAAATGAAAAGTTGCCCTTTTTTATTATGGCTGTCATCAGTGACTTCTGCTCTAACCACTCAAAAGAAAAAATCACTCAGTTTCAAACTTTTAACCCTTTTATTTTAGTTTGAACATACAACGCAAACGTGTGTGTGTGCGTGTGTGTGTGCTTGCGCTCAGTGGAGCTAGTGAAGCGAGCTAACCTGACTCCGCCACGTGGTGGCGATCGCTGTGTGTGCGCGTGTGCTTGCGCTCAGTGGAGCTAGTGAGGCGAGCTTACCTGACTCCGCCACGTGGTGGCGATCGCTGTGTGTGTAAGTGTGTGTAAGTGTGTGTGTGTGCGTGTGTGGAGTGTGTGTGTGGGGTGTGTGTGTGTGTTTGTGCTTGCTTACGATCGGCGGAGCTGAGGGAAGGTATCTCCAGAACAGGTGGCGCGGCACAGTAATTAGTATGAGATACGTCGGACTGCCGGATGCAAAACCCCGTTAACCGGAAGAAGAAGAGGTCGGCTACCACCTCCAGAGCAGCCAGCGGCTCACCGCCTTTGCTGCCGCGGGCCTAAGGCTATCTGATCACGGGTAACGGGGCGGCTGTACCCGGGGCAACCTCGGACGCTTGGGGCGCATGTGCCATGAACGCAATCGCTGGCTGTGTTGAGCGCGCGCAAGATCATGCGTGTGCACAAACATTTGCACACGAACACACACGACCATGCACACATGGAAAACACTAACACATGAAAAAAAATACATGCACACCTGATTTATTCACTTCTACAGTCTACTTTTGTTTTTTTGCAAAAAATGGCCTCTCACTGAAGGCCAATAACGGATATGAAAACAAATGAAATTTCAGCATTCATGATTTGAAAAAGTTGGATTGGAAATAGACTCAAGATAAAATGCAAAAAAATGGGGGGTAAAATCTGATTTGAACTCTTGTGGCAGTATATTACAAACAGGTAGCAGATTTTCCTTCCAAAAGACTGCATCTATCATAGGCTGTAGTTTACGGGTGTGTCAAACTGACCAAAATGGTAAAAAAAACAAAAAAACACCAGAATAACAAATTTGAGACAGTTTCATGCCCAAATAAAGTAAAATGGTAAAAATAAAATAAAAAATTGCTTCCTTTTATTAGTGATAAAGTTATGTGCATTTTTTGATTTTTGAATATTGTAATTTTTGCCAAATTCCCATAAGGAATAATGGGGTTTTGACCACCTGGCTAGATCAGCCTCTATTATTCATGAAAAAAAAGGTGCACCTTGTGGCTGAAAGTGCACAGTGCCTCTTTAATGTCTTCTGAAAAGGGGGAAAACAGTCTTTGCTGAAATTCATTTTTTCCCACTGATATGGGTATATGTAAAAGACAAGTGGTTTCCCATTGGAATGCATGGGGCACTTGTGTGGCGCTAAGGCAAGATTAAGCATATTTGAAAAAAAAACACATAACCATAGGGTTTTTTTTCTTCAATTTCACGTATATCATGCCTCATCACAAAATACACATTTTCTAGGAATTTCTTTGCAAGGGCATTAATAGAAAAAAAGTTGTGGCATCAAAGACAAGGCCTTACCCCTCCAGAAACCTTAAGAAGGTACAAGGGTTAAGGATGTCCAGCTCTTTGCTGCCATTCTGGAGTGTCCCCACCTTTGTGTACAGTTTAACACCTGCTGGGTCTTGGAGGCACTCAAGGTGCTTCTGCTGCACTTCCCAAACGTGATGCATGCTGTCATGGTTCACCAGACACAGCCCTGTGGTGTCAGTCAGCTCCCACACTGATTCCAGGAGCCCTGTAATCATGCTCCGAATGTCATCCACTCCACGTATCCTCCTTCTACAGTGCCTCTTTAGCTCCCCTGGACTGATGGTGGCCATGAGTTGCTCCTCAGTAGGAGCAAGTCTGCTGTGGCTTCCCTTCCACTCTGCTCTCTTGGCATCCTTCAGGCGTTGCACATCCTCCTTGTCCCATTCAAAGATGCAGGAAGAAAGCTTGGCGCAAAAAGTGCAATACAAAGGGTGGTGTTCTGTAGTGAAGCCGCAGTTGAAGCGTTGCATAAAACGGAAGCTGTCTAAGCGTACTACAGACCTCCATGGGTGAAAGAGTTTAACCACAGATGAAACACCTGTAAAAAAAACAACCATTGATAATTAGATAGACCACATGCCTCAGGTGCAGGAAGTAGTGGAGCTATGCATAGAGCCCATTGCCAGTACCATTACACCTGCAAGTGGCAGGAGTGTAACAAAAATACAAATACACAAATTTAATACAATTTTCACCCACCTGACTGGCTGCAGCAGTCCTGGTCAACATAGATGACCTCAGGTTCAGCTTGGCCGGCATTCTTGTAGCGAGTGACAATGCCTTGGAACAATTCTTTCAATCCTACACCTTCACCCGTGGTCAAAACACAGTTTAGAACCTGGCCAAACTCATTGCCGATGTTTGCCATCCATGCAGCACTATCCCAAATTCCACCAGCCAGCTTCTTGGTGATCTGTAAAACAAACACTACTTTCTGCAAAATATCTATACTTTTCCATATTTATTTGTAGTTGAAATCCTAACCTTCTTTGTTGAATCCACCTTAAGAATTCTACCATAGGTAGAGGTGATCACTCCCTTCATCTCATCCAGATGGCTCAGGATGCCGTTAGAGTGGACTGTCTCAAACCACTGAGCAAGTGGAAGGGGTCTGAAGGCGGGGGGATAGACAACCTCCGAGGGGACAATGGTAGCCGTCTTCATATGGCGCTCACAGTCTGAGAGGTAGCGGATGACCTGACGTGCCCACTCCTCGCTGTGTGCTTCCTCTATTGCAGACTGGAGGTAAGAGGAGCTGTTACCACTGGTCCTGGGCGTCAACAAAGACATGCATTTTCTGTCCAGAGCCACCTGTGTCGTGAGGACAGCGGGGAACAGGCTCCTGTGTGCCACATCCAGCTGGGAGAGAGCATATCCTGGCTCCATGGGCAGACCGGCTGAGAGCACTTGCTGCAACGTGGATAGTCCCCTCCCACTAGATAATAGCGGCTATCTACATCGATCACCTCTCTGACCTTCCTGTAGATGCCGGAGTTGTTCATTTTACGTGAACACTGTGGGCATTTCAGGGGAATCCCCCAGATCCTCATTGGTGCCCAGACAAACATTCTCTTTCTGAAGTGCCACCCAGGCTCAGGAGGAGATGGTTTGGGCTCCAATGGTGGGTGAAACCAGAAAGCTTTTAATCTTCTTTTCAACTGGCCTGTGGGTTCATACAGACACTTGGCAATCCACACCTGATCAGATTCCTGTATGACTCTGCGAAATTGATCAGGAAGAAAACCTTTCCAATTAATGGAAGAAGGTTTCAGTGGAGTTGCCTTGTGCTGTGGTGGTGAGGGTGGTTGTGGTGGTGGTGGTGGTGGTGGTGGAGGTGGAGGAGGTGGAGGAGGAGGAGGTGTCGGCCTTTGCAGTGATGGTGTGATGAGCCCTGAGTAGTGGGTCATTTGGATGTGGTCTAAAAGACCAAAAGCACCGTGCACCTTGGTCCCACAGGTGTCACACACCTCGTCTGTATGGTAATCAGAGAGGTGTTCAGAGAATTTATCTCCCTCCACAAACTCATTGCACTTGTAGCACTGTACTCCCTGTCCTGCCACTGATGCTGCTGCCTCCGTGTTTCCACTTCCTGTCTCTGTGTCAACTTGGACTTGCCCTCCCTCCATCTCAACTTCTCCTGTCTTACTGCAGCCAGCAGCTGATGACACATCTGCTGACTAGAGGAGAGGGGAGTACAAAAAGAGGGCTATGCTACATGCAACTAAGATTCCTACACTAACATTTTTCTCCAGAATGGTGCAGACATACATTGTTCAATAAATAAATCCACATCCTACAGTGACTCATCAGCACTTAGTAAATAATTTTACCTACCTTATGGAACCCACAGGAGCAATGAAGGCTTCTCCCAAACAGGTCCTTGGTGTGGCTCTGCCGGGGACACGCATCTACATTCTCCAGGGCCTTTTTCCACTTCTTGGCCCCTGGTGGTTTGCCGGTCCAAAAGTGGTACTGGCCCTGGGCATATTTTGCACAAATATCCCTCCAGTAGGCATCTGGTTTTCCTGTTTTAGTCATCTACAAACATTAAAGAAAATAGGTTAATGTAGCTACATGATGTATGTACGTATGAAAGCATGTTTTGCATTGTTGTTGTGCACAATTAAGCATATTTAAAACATCTGTGCACTTCTGTCTGCTCTGCTCAAACACATAACCAGGCTCCATTACCTGAGTGGAGAAAACGTCAATATAGCCGATATATTATTATTCCACAGACGGACAATGAAACCTGGTACAATTATTTCACATCGTAAGGCTTTCCCCAAAAGATCGGCGGGGTTTATACAGCCACTAAAGAAATAAATAAGCTACTATTGGTCTTGTGCTTCTGTCATACCACCAATATCCTCAACATTACCACACAGAGCTAGCAAGCGCACCAATGCCATTACAAGCAGAAGCTCTGTTCGCAAAATGGCTACGTAACGAGAAAGTTAAAATATAAGTTCAATTAAGTGGCAATGGGATGGGAAATTAAATGGTATACTGTTTTGTCACACTGTTTAATATTCGTCCCACACATGACCTTGATTTTGTGAACATTTAACAAAATTTCCAACCTTTAATAGCGGTACTTTGTATGTGGCTGCTAAGCGGGGAAATACATGTCCGTCGTTTGGAAAAGATAACTCCGCCCCCTCCTATATCAGGTGACACTGTTCGGTCTTGTTCGGAGCTTAGTTCGGACCTCGCTTGAAACCCTTTGATGTCGTCAGACCTAGTTCGGACCTTGTTCGGAGCTTGTTAGGATCTGTTAGGAGCTTGTTAGGAAAATGTTAGGATGTGTTCGGACCTTGCATGCCGTCCAGCCATTGGTGGGTACGGCCACCTCGTCTTTACGGCTGTCCTTTCAACACACCAGATCGGCTGCCGCTTGGGCCGAAAGCAGGCAGGGTTGCAGCTTTTCGGGTCTTCTTGCACAAGGCCTTGGGACAACGTATGGAGAGGGGAATTAGCTCAAATGGTAGAGCGCTCGCTTAGCATGCGAGAGGTAGCGGGATCGATGCCCGCATTCTCCACATCGCTTTCATTTGCCCCCCCCAACTCCAAGGGGATGATCAGTGCACACAATTGAATGCTAGCACAGTGGTTCTTGCCAAGATGCACGAGGAAATGCTAACCTCAGGTCAGGAAGCATTTTAAACTTTTACAGTCCAACCATTTTGCCTCATGCTTACTTGAGTTCTGAACCAGTGCTTGCTGATTTCACTTCACACTTGTCTAGCAGCTTTCTGATGTGCTGAGTAATCACTGAGCCTTTGGCTACAGTAGCCATTTCCCCTGTGCCCTTTGGCTTGACAAAGAGATCAAAAACCCTTTCCCATCCACACAGCAGAAGAGCCCAGCAACCAGCGGTACTTTGTGGAGAAGGTGAGCCTGCAGTGAGCCCAGAGCTGTCACAGCATGAAACAAGTAGTACATTGTTAAATTTTTGCCCTTACTCCAAAGACATGCAGCAAGCAAAACCAGTCGATGCATCTTGATCAACATGTTAAGGCTCTTTGTATCAACAGCTTTTTCCACCTGAGGAACATCTACAAGCTGCACTCGATTGTTTCCCACCAGGAGCTGGAGATGGCTGTTCATGCATTTGTCTCCTCAAGGATTGACTACTGCAGCTCTCTCTACACTTGTCTTAACCAATCTTCTCTCCACCGCCTGCAGTTGGTCCAGAATGCAGCAGCCAGACTGCTCACCAGCTCGAAGAAGTCGTGTCACATGACTCTCATCCTGGCTGACCTGCACTGGCTTCCCGTTTCCTTTAGAACCCAGTCCAGGTTGCTGCTGATCTCCTATGAGGCCCTCAAACGACTTGCTCTCAGCTACATAAGGGACCTCCTCCATGTCATCACTTCATGTGCATGTTGGGCAGGGGCAGCCGGAAGTGTGTTCACTGCAGGGAGAGACTCCTTGGCCAGGTGCAGCTGTTTGGGGAGGATAGTCCCTTGCAGGAGAATGTCCCTGTCCTTCCTTTTATCCCTCCTAAGTAGCCTACAAGACAAAAATTCACTATTTTATACTTATACCTAAATGCAGGTGGAGGTTTTTATTACTGTAAAATCTTTATATACTGTCTTGACAGTATGGGAAAGTTAAATGAAAAAATACACACCATAAGGAGACAGTAGTGTTGTTAACTGGCACCAGAGCCAAGTTGGTCTGGTTCAGGACAACCTTGCTGTCCTCTAGCAGCTGTTTGATGTGGCCATAGACGCTGACAATGGATTGAGGGACTGGCATGGTTTTTCCATTTGGCCTGTTGCATGCTTGCACAAACTCTTTGGCAAGTCTGAGGCAAACACACTCACTGACCCTGTGTGATTCAGGGTCCTGGGCTGCTTGGCCGTGAGTCATGTATAGTCTGTGGGAGGGAAAGATGATGTGATCTGGACTGTGGACAAGGATGTAGTGTCATTAAGAACAAGGTGACAGTGTCAACAGGGATTGTAATAAAATGTGCTATCTTTCATTCAATGATTTGTATTGAACAAAACTGATAGAAAATTGTAGTTAATCACCTCTCTGCCACCTGCTGTCCAGGAGCAGAGCCACTGGGCTTCCTGGATGCTCTCCACGGTCCTCCTGACGCACGCCCTCTTTTCTTAACCTTCTGGGTGTACCTAAACACCAAAAAGAGACATCAATGTGCTTCATTCATTCCATGGAATGTTTGTTTAATTATGGTGTATAAATTAATTACTAATTTGTACTTTGAAGGTGCCTTGTCCATGGCATGAAGAGCTGAGTAAAGGTGGACTATGTCTGCCTCCTCCTTGACTGACAAGGCTGTGGTTGTTCGATTTAAGTCAACTAGGTAGGCTGCTAGGGCATCAACTGCCTCCCATCTCGCAACACCTCTCGAGTCACATTGGCTGGTCTGAAAAGGGATAAGGGAAAAAAGAAAACACAAAGCAAAAGATTTATATTTTTTGTTACATGAGCGATGCTGATTTCATATTCATTTATCTTATCAAAATGTAACCAGGTGTAATTAATTGAAATATTTTGTTTTTGAGTAAGGTGTTGAAGAAACTGTTATTAACCTTTGTGTCGAAGGGACTGGGTTTAGGGTCACCCTCCAACACCACCCGGGGCCTCATTTATAAAGCCTGCTTACGCACAAAACCTGGCTAGAAAGTGCTTACGCCACTTCTTACGCAAGAGTTGGGATTTATAAAAGAAAAACTAGTGTAGGAATGTGCGCAACTTTAAGCAAACTCCACACCTTGCTTACGCACTTTTTGGAGACAATCGGAGCAAGGTGAGAACAGTCCGGGTGATGCGTTCAGCACAACGGATGACTCGATGCAGGGCCTCTCTGTCCTGAGAGCTGCAGCTGCTGTAACAGGCAGTGATGCTCGCAGAAAGCACAGACCCCACTGTGGCGGTGTAGATAGTTTGCCAATTTGAATTTACAAATGTGCAAAAAAAAATTCCATTTACATGCATTTGTTTTAAGATTAATATGACTAAATCTTTTTGGTTTACGAACTTTCACCACATAAGCAGCGGTGGATAACGGAGCAGTTTCTATTTGGAACACATGGATGAGTGTCACACGTGCTTGTTTTTTCTGATCCTCACCTGTCGCCGCCACGCTCCGACGGTGCAAAGCCACTCTTTTCTTTGCCTCCACCTTTAGATCAGACCACTTCTTCTTGATTTCGGCACAGTGTTGTTTTCGTCAACGAAAACAAAACTCCACATGTGTGCGCGCGCGTGCGTGTGTGTGTCTGTGTGTTGGAGGAGCACAGCAGGCTGATGAGAGCTGTCAGAGCGGACAGAAGCTGCTCCTATATGTTTAGCGTTTTGCAACTCTGTTCGTCATTTTCGTCTCGTCCCATCAACGTAAACGCACTTTCGTCTCGTCGCATTTTAGTCATCTCCGACTTATGTTTAGCTCGTCAACGTTATGTCTTCGTCGTGGAAGAAAAGGGAAATCTTTTCGTCAACGAAAACAACCAGTGTTGTTCTCGTTGACGAAAATATTTCCCTTTTTTGACGCTGGCGTTGACGAAAATATTTGACGAAATATGACGAAAACAACACTGTTTCGGCAACGCTGCGCTCAGTGCCAGCCGCAATTACCGCCACGGCAATGGCGTTTTTATTGGTGATGCCACTCAAATGGCTGCCGAATAAGGTCTCCCGTCTCGCCGCCACCTCAATTACAAGAACCTCCACCTCGATCTCTGAAAAGTTTCTTTTTCTACGACTTGCTGATGCCATGGTTAAGCGTGAAATGCCGTGGATCCATCAGGCTTATTTATATGCAAATCACATTCGTGAGGTAATTTGCATGACCATACATGGTGAATTTTGGGTGTGGAGAGGGCGGGGCATGAATCAAATCCCTGCTGCGCAACTTTCCGGCTGGTCTGTGATTTATAAAGTGAAAGTGTGTGCAGGTGTGCGTAGGCAGGGTTTTAGAAATCAGATTTTTTTTTTGCCTACGTACTTTTCATCTTTTCAACTTACGTACACTTTTAGTATGGATCCTACGCCAGGTTTATAAATGAGGCCCCTGGTCATCCGCAGCACTTGGAGGATCGGGATCACCAGCCTCAAGCTCAGTTGACTGGCAGAGTGTAGCGTCCGGTTCAGCCTCATTCAAGGAATCACCTGCCGCAAGGTCACCTGGCATGAACACGGTGGCATCTGGCTCATCCTCATCTTCCTCCAGCACCTGTGAGGGGATGTCAGGCATTTGCTCTGGAGTGAGCAGGTCACCTCTGTTGGTCTGGGCCAACAGATACTCCCCAGCTATGCGCTCTCCTGTAACCAGTATAAAAACAAAGATGAAAAAAGGACATGCATACAAACATCAACCTCCTACATTTATAGCACAATCTTCGCATCGAAATACACATCCTCTGAGTAGGGGGGTTCCAAAGAAAAAGTGGAGGAGGGGATGTAATAATTTGGTCTACCAGAGTCACTCTGATTCTTCTCTTACCAGTATGTTTCCCAGGTGGGGTGAACTCTGGAACCATAACATAACCAAGGACCCGCTGGCTCATGTTGTTGAGGTGTGAAATCAATTGGACATCAAAAATTCTGAGAGTTGAGACCCCTCCACAGCTACAGCCTCCTTGGCCTGGCCCATGTTCCACCTCGATGCTCCCTCCATCATGTACATTTGCATGTGCATTGCATTGCATCGCCAGCCTAAGAAACAAAATACACTGTTCAGTCAACCATTATTGTAAAGTAAATACATATGAACACCTGACAGTGGTAACTGTTTTACTTAAGTAATTACAAGACATTCTCTGTCAATAACATAGAAAAGAACATTAGAAAAAGACAAACACAATGTGTGTTGATGTGAATGTACCTGGAATAAAAGCACACTGGTGTTGGTGAAAACTCTCCAGGGAGGAAGACCCCCTACCACACCTAAGGATGTCCAGCTCTTTGCCGCCTTTCTGGAGTGTCCCCACCTTTGTGTACAGTTTAACACCTGCTGGGTCTTGGAGGCACTCAAGGTGCTTCTGCTGCACTTCCCAAACGTGATGCATGCTGTCATGGTTCACCAGACGCAGCCCTGTGGTGTCAGTCAGCTCCCACACTGATTCCAGGAGCCCTGTAATCATGCTCCGAATGTCATCCACTCCACGTATCCTCCTTCTACAGTGCCTCTTTAGCTCCCCTGGACTGATGGTGGCCATGAGTTGCTCCTCAGAAGGAGCAAGTCCGCTGTGGCTTCCCTTCCACTCTGCTCTCTTGGCATCCTTTAGGCGTTGCACATCCTCGTTGTCCCATTCAAAGATGAAGGAGTAAAGCTTGGTGCAAAAAGTGCAATACAATGGGTGGTGTTCTGTAGTGAAGCCGCAGTTAAAGCATCACATAGAATGAAAGCTGTCTAAGCGTACTACAGACCTCCATGGGTGAAAGAGTTTAATCACAGACGACACACCTGTAAAAAACCAACCATTGATAATTAAATAGACCACATGCCTCAGGTGCAGGAAGTAGTGGAGCTATGCATAGAGCCCATTGCCAGTACCATTACACCCACAAGTGGCAGGAGTGTAACAAAAATACAAATACACAAATTTAATACAATTTTCACCCACCTGACTGGCTGCAGCAGTACCGGTAAACATAGATGACCTCAGGTTCAGCTTGGCCGGCATTCTTGTAGCGAGTGACAATGCCTTGGAACAATTCTTTCAATCCTACACCTTCACCCGTGGTCAAAACACAGTTTAGAACCTGGCCAAACTCATTGCCGATGTTTGCCATCCATGCAGCACTATCCCCATTTCCACCAGCCAGCTTCTTGGTGATCTGTAAAACAAACACTACTTTCTGCAAAATATCTATACTTTTCCATATTTTTTTGTAGTTGAAATCCTAACCTTCTTTGTTGAATCCACCTTAAGAATTCTACCATAGGTAGAGGTGATCACTCCCTTCATCTCATCCAGATGGCTCAGGATGCCGTTAGAGTGGACTGTCTCAAACCACTGAGCAAGTGGAAGGGGTCTGAAGGCGGGGGGATAGACAACCTCCGAGGGGACAATGGTAGCCGTCTTCATATGGCGCTCACAGTCTGAGAGGTAGCGGATGACCTGACGTGCCCACTCCTCGCTGTGTGCTTCCTCTATTGCAGACTGGAGGTAAGAGGAGCTGTTACCACTGGTCCTGGGCGTCAACAAAGACATGCATTTTCTGTCCAGAGCCACCTGTGTCGTGAGGACAGCGGGGAACAGGCTCCTGTGTGCCACATCCAGCTGGTAGAGAGCATATCCTGGCTCCATGGGCAGACCGGCTGAGAGCACTTGCTGCAACGTGGATAGTCCCCTCCCACTAGATAATAGCAGCTATCTACATCGATCACCTCTCTGACCTTCCTGTAGATGCCGGAGTTGTTCATTTTACGTGAACACTGTGGGCATTTCAGGGGAATCCCCCACATCCTCATTGGTGCCCAGACAAACATTTATCTTTCTGAAGTGCCACCCAGGCTCAGGAGGAGATGGTTTGGGCTCCAATGGTGGGTGAAACCAGAAAGCTTTTAATCTTCTTTTCAACTGGCCTGTGGGTTCATACAGACACTTGGCAATCCACACCTGATCAGATTCCTGTATGACTCTGCGAAATTGATCAGGAAGAAAACCTTTCCAATTAATGGAAGAAGGTTTCAGTGGAGTTGCCTTGTGCTGTGGTGGTGAGGGTGGTTGTGGTGGTGGTGGTGGTGGTGGTGGAGGTGGTGGAGGAGGTGGAGCAGTTGGAGGAGGAGGAGGTGTCGGCCTTTGCAGTGATGGTGTGATGAGCCCTGAGTAGTGGGGCATTTGGATGTGGTCTAAAAGACCAAAAGCACCGTGCACCTTGGTCCCACAGGTGTCACACACCTCGTCTGTATGGTAATCAGAGAGGTGTTCAGAGAATTTATCTCCCTCCACAAACTCATTGCACTTGTAGCACTGTACTCCCTGTCCTGCCACTGATGCTGCTGCCTCCGTGTTTCCACTTCCTGTCGCTGTGTCAACTTGGACTTGCCCTCCCTCCATCTCAACTTCTCCTGTCTTACTGCAGCCAGCAGCTGATGACACATCTGCTGACTAGAGGAGAGGGGAGTACAAAAAGAGGGCTATGCTACATGCAACTAAGATTCCTACACTAACATTTTTCTCCAGAATGGTGCAGACATACATTGTTCAATAAATAAATCCACATCCTACAGTGACTCATCAGCACTTAGTAAATAATTTTACCTACCTTATGGAACCCACAGGAGCAATGAAGGCTTCTCCCAAACAGGTCCTTGGTGTGGCTCTGCCGGGGACACGCATCTACATTCTCCAGGGCCTTTTTCCACTTCTTGGCCCCTGGTGGTTTGCCGGTCGAAAAGTGGTACTGGCCCTGGGCATATTTTGCACAAATATCCCTCCAGTAGGCATCTGGTTTTCCTGTTTTAGTCATCTACAAACATTAAATAAAATAGGTTAATGTAGCTACATGATGTATGTACGTATGAAAGCATGTTTTGCATTGTTGTTGTGCACAATTAAGCATATTTAAAACATCTGTGCACTTCTGTCTGCTCTGCTCAAACACATAACCAGGCTCCATTACCTGAGTGGAGAAAACGTCAATATAGCCGATATATTATTATTCCACAGACGGACAATGAAACCTGGTACAATTATTTCACATCGTAAGGCTTTCCCCAAAAGATCGGCGGGGTTTATACAGCCAATAAAGAAATAAATAAGCTACTATTGGTCTTGTGCTTCTGTCATACCACCAATATCCTCAACATTACCACACAGAGCTAGCAAGCGCAGCAATGCCATTACAAGCAGAAGCTCTGTTCGCAAAATGGCTACGTAACGAGAAAGTTAAAATATAAGTTCAATTAAGTGGCAATGGGATGGGAAATTAAATGGTATACTGATTTGTCACACTGTTTAATATTCGTCCCACACATGACCTTGATTTTGTGAACATTTAACAAAATTTCCAACCTTTAATAGCGGTGCTTCGTATGTGGCTGCTAAGCGGGGAAATACATGTCCGTTGTTTGGAAAAGATAACTCCGGCCCCTCCTATATCAGGTGACACTATTCGGTCTTGTTCGGAGCTTAGTTCGGACCTCGCTTGAAACCTTTTGATGTCGTCGGACCTAGTTTGGACCTTGTTCGAAGCTTGTTAGGATAAATAGCAGGTGATTGCGACGAGGATAGGATTCGAACCCACACGTGCAGAGCACAATGGATTAGCAGTCCATCGCCTTAACCACTCAGCCACCTCGTCTTTACGGCTGCCCTTTCAACACATCAGATCGGCTGCCGCTTGGGCCCAAAGCAGGCAGGGTTGCAGCTTTTCGGGTCTTCTTGCACGAGGCCTTGGGACAATGTACGGAGGGGAATTAGCTCAAATGGTAGAGCGCTCGCTTAGCATGCGAGAAGTAGCGGGATCGATGCCTGCATTCTCCACATCGCTTTCATTTGCTCCCCTAACTCCAAGGGGATGATCAGTACACACAATTGAGTACTAGCACAGTGGTTCTTGCCAAGATGCACGAGGAAATGCTAACCTCAGGTCAGGAAGCGTTTGTCAACTTGCACATTCCAACCATTTTGCCTCATGCTTACTTGAGTTCTGAACCAGTGCTTGCTGATTTCACTTCACACTTGTCTAGCAGCTTTCTGATGTGCTGAGTAATCACTGAGCCTTTGGCTACAGTAGCCATTTCCCCTGTGCCCTTTGGCTTGACAAAGAGATCAAAAACCCTTTCCCATCCACACAGCAGAAGAGCCCAGCACCAGCGGTACTTTGTGGAGAAGGTGAGCCTGCAGTGAGCCCAGAGCTGTCACAGCATGAAACGAGTAGTACATTGTTAAATTTTTGCCCTTGTTGCTAGTAGCAGACTCCACTATCTGGATGGAACATGTTTTGAGGCAGAAGACAGGAGTCTCCATGCCAGCTGCATGCAAGGTTGCAGAGGCAGACTGTGACATGCAGGATGAAACTAGTGGCAGATGGTCAACTTTCTCTTTGTTGCCAGCAGATCTTGAGCAGTGTCTGGATGGAGCAAGTTTTGAGGCAGAAGACAGGCGTTTGAGGCGCAAGACAGGCTCTTTCCTGTAGCAGCTGCATTCAAAGTTGCAGAGGCAGTATGTGACGTGCATCAGGTAGGCGCCGTGGTCAGTGAGCATGTGGCTTGGCTGGAAAGCGGGCATTAAATAGCAGGTGATTGCGACGAGGATGGGATTCGAACCCACGCGTGCAGAGCACAATGGATTAGCAGTCCATCGCCTTAACCACTCGGCCACCTCGTCTTTACGGCTGCCCTTTCAACACATCAGATCGGCTGCCGCTTGGGCCCAAAGCAGGCAGGGTTGCAGCTTTTCGGGTCTTCTTGCACGAGGCCTGGCGAAAGCGTATGGAGAGGGGAATTAGCTCAAATGGTAGAGCGCTCGCTTAGCATGCGAGAGGTAGCGGGATCGATGCCCGCATTCTCCACATCGCTTTCATTTGCTCCCCCCAACTCCAAGGGGATGATCAGTGCACACAATTGAGTACTAGCACAGTGGTTCTTGCCAAGATGCACGAGGAAATGCTAACCTCAGGTCAGGAAGCGTTTGTCAACTTGCACATTCCAACCATTTTGCCTCATGCTCTCATGCCCTCATGTTCTGAACCAGTGCTTGCTGATTTCACTTCACACTTGTCTAGCAGCTTTCTGATGTGCTGAGTAATCACTGAGCCTTTGGCTACAGTAGCCATTTCCCCTGTGCCCTTTGGCTTGACAAAGAGATCAAAAACCCTTTCCCATCCACACAGCAGAAGAGCCCAGCAACCAGCGGTACTTTGTGGAGAAGGTGAGCCTGCAGTGAGCCCAGAGCTGTCACAGCATGAAACGAGTAGTACATTGTTAAATTTTTGCCCTTGTTGCTAGTAGCAGACTCCACTATCTGGATGGAACATGTTTTGAGGCAGAAGACAGGAGTCTCCATGCCAGCTGCATGCAAGGTTGCAGAGGCAGACTGTGACATGCAGGATGAAACTAGTGGCAGATGGTCAACTTTCTCTTTGTTGCCAGCAGATCTTGAGCAGTGTCTGGATGGAGCAAGTTTTGAGGCAGAAGACAGGCGTTTGAGGCGCAAGACAGGCTCTTTCCTGTAGCAGCTGCATTCAAAGTTGCAGAGGCAGTATGTGACGTGCATCAGGTAGGCGCCGTGGTCAGTGAGCATGTGGCTTGGCTGGAAAGCGGGCATTAAATAGCAGGTGATTGCGACGAGGATGGGATTCGAACCCACGCGTGCAGAGCACAATGGATTAGCAGTCCATCGCCTTAACCACTCGGCCACCTCATCTTTACAGCTGCCCTTTCAACACATCAGATCGGCTGCCGCTTGGGCCCAAAGCAGACAGGGTTGCAGCTTTTCGGGTCTTCTTGCACGAGGCCTGGCGACAGCGTATGGAGAGGGGAATTAGCTCAAATGGTAGAGTGTTCGCTTAGCATGCGAGAGGTAGCGGGATCGATGCCCGCATTCTCCACATCGCTTTCATTTGCTCCCCCCAACTCCAAGGGGATGATCAGTGCACACAATTCAGTACTAGCACAGTGGTTCTTGCCAAGATGCACGAGGAAATGCTAACCTTAGGTCAGGAAGCGTTTGTCAACTTGCACATTCCAACCATTTTGCCTCATGCTTACTTGAGTTCTGAACCAGTGCTTGCTGATTTCACTTCACACTTGTCTAGCAGCTTTCTGATGTGCTGAGTAATCACTGAGCCTTTGGCTACAGTAGCCATTTCCCCTGTGCCCTTTGGCTTGACAAAGAGATCAAAAACCCTTTCCCATCCACACAGCAGAAGAGCCCAGCAACCAGCGGTACTTTGTGGAGAAGGTGAGCCTGCAGTGAGCCCAGAGCTGTCACAGCATGAAATGAGTAGTACATTGTTAAATTTTTGCCCTTGTTGCTAGTAGCAGACTCCACTATCTGGATGGAACATGTTTTGAGGCAGAAGACAGGAGTCTCCATGCCAGCTGCATGCAAGGTTGCAGAGGCAGACTGTGACATGCAGGATGAAACTAGTGGCAGATGGTCAACTTTCTCTTTGTTGCCAGCAGATCTTGAGCAGTGTCTGGATGGAGCAAGTTTTGAGGCAGAAGACAGGCGTTTGAGGCGCAAGACAGGCTCTTTCCTGTAGCAGCTGCATTCAAAGTTGCAGAGGCAGTATGTGACGTGCATCAGGTAGGCGCCGTGGTCAGTGAGCATGTGGCTTGGCTGGAAAGCGGGCATTAAATAGCAGGTGATTGCGACGAGGATGGGATTCGAACCCACGCGTGCAGAGCACAATGGATTAGCAGTCCATCGCCTTAACCACTCGGCCACCTCGTCTTTACGGCTGCCCTTTCAACACATCAGATCGGCTGCCGCTTGGGCCCAAAGCAGGCAGGGTTGCAGCTTTTCGGGTCTTCTTGCACGAGGCCTGGCGACAGCGTATGGAGAGGGGAATTAGCTCAAATGGTAGAGCGCTCGCTTAGCATGCGAGAGGTAGCGCGATCGATGCCCGCATTCTCCACATCGCTTTCATTTGCTCCCCCCAACTCCAAGGGGATGATCAGTGCACACAATTCAGTACTAGCACAGTGGTTCTTGCCAAGATGCACGAGGAAATGCTAACCTTAGGTCAGGAAGCGTTTGTCAACTTGCACATTCCAACCATTTTGCCTCATGCTTACTTGAGTTCTGAACCAGTGCTTGCTGATTTCACTTCACACTTGTCTAGCAGCTTTCTGATGTGCTGAGTAATCACTGAGCCTTTGGCTACAGTAGCCATTTCCCCTGTGCCCTTTGGCTTGACAAAGAGATCAAAAACCCTTTCCCATCCACACAGCAGAAGAGCCCAGCAACCAGCGGTACTTTGTGGAGAAGGTGAGCCTGCAGTGAGCCCAGAGCTGTCACAGCATGAAATGAGTAGTACATTGTTAAATTTTTGCCCTTGTTGCTAGTAGCAGACTCCACTATCTGGATGGAACATGTTTTGAGGCAGAAGACAGGAGTCTCCATGCCAGCTGCATGCAAGGTTGCAGAGGCAGACTGTGACATGCAGGATGAAACTAGTGGCAGATGGTCAACTTTCTCTTTGTTGCCAGCAGATCTTGAGCAGTGTCTGGATGGAGCAAGTTTTGAGGCAGAAGACAGGCGTTTGAGGCGCAAGACAGGCTCTTTCCTGTAGCAGCTGCATTCAAAGTTGCAGAGGCAGCATGTGACGTGCATCAGGTAGGCGCCGTGGTCAGTGAGCATGTGGCTTGGCTGGAAAGCGGGCATTAAATAGCAGGTGATTGCGACGAGGATGGGATTCGAACCCACGCGTGCAGAGCACAATGGATTAGCAGTCTATCGCCTTAAGCACTCGGCCACCTCGTCTTCATGGCTGCCCTTTCAACACATCAGATCGGCTGC